TATCGGCCATCGCTGAGGATTTCTTTTAATCTATCTTGCGATATTGTGGATTACTGGGCCCGGGCTATGATATGATGAAGCTGTAAGTGTGTGCGTGTGTGTGTTAATAGCAGCAATAGTGTTGCCTATCCCCCCCCCCCCCCTCCCTCTCTTCCCCTGGGAGGTACAGTGTCATCGCCGGGGTATCGGTGTTCTTTCTTCCCTGTCGTAGACATACAGTTCCGGTACAGTACAGTGCTAGTACATCCCTCCCTTTCCCTCTCCCTTTTTGTTTCGCTCCGCTTGATTTCGTTTCGCATTGTTTTGTTTTTCGGGCAGCAGGGGTGGAGTGATAGGAAGAGTTAACTTATCCGGGGAACTTTTTACTGTAACTGGGCGGGTACCGGTGCCGTAATCATATGCTCGACTGTGAATGGGGACGGGGGGGGGGGTGGAAAAGCAAAAAGGGAGGATGTGCAAAAGCCATGTACGATACAATGGTCCAGTAATGGGAGTGGGCTAGCAGGGGCCGCACGTCCAGGCTCCGGGGAGGACTTGACCTGGGCGTGGGGTTTTGGTGGTGGGTGGGCCTTGCACACATGGATTGGGGTTGAGTTCGATTATGGAGCTCGGTATGGTTTGATGAGACTCGTGCCAGTGCTTGCTTTCGAACGTGCGACGTCGGTGATATACAATAATTTACTACGCATTCCCATCCTCTCCTCTCCCTCAGCACCCATTCCCCTATTTCTTTCCTTTCTTTTTTTCCCCTTCAACCACTTGATGCGCGGTAATCCGAATCCCCCTCCCCTGCCCTGCCTTGTCCCCATTGCGAATCTCTCTCTCTCTCTGTAGACATGCAAACGGAGCAAGTTATCAAAACCCAAGTTCCCCGGAATAGCACAGGCGGGGTCCCACTCGAGTATTGACAAATCCGCTGCGTGATATCACACCAGCACTTCAAAACACCGAAAGCGCCCCCCCGAAAGGCTCTCAGCAAGGAAAATCTGCCTTTCGTCATTCCTCCTGTTGGTTTCAGCCAATCACTACAAGGAAGCTCCCGAATAAAAAAGAGGAAAAAAAAAAACCCCCTCCACACCCCATCCACTCCCCCCCCCATCCGTTTCTATTTGAGTTGCGATATTGGTGGGGATAGGTAGAAAGGGTTCGTTGGTTCGGTCCAAGCGCAATTACCCCAACCCTGTGCGATCTTGGCTTTCGGAAATCTCGGGGCTGGCGATGGAGCTAAAATGCTATGATACATCGGTCATATGGCTCCACGTTAACTCGGTTGTGGATGCGAAATGTAAAATGTGAAAAGCGCAGCAAAGCGGCGGGTGGTTTGCGTTGCGTAGTATTGTCTTGGTTTTATTTTTAACCCTTTTTTTTTTTTGTATTTCTCTCATTTCCCTAACCTGATGATGGGGGAAGGAAAGAACGAGGAAAGGGAGGGGGAGGGGCAGGCTGGAAGTGGATGGATTACTGGCATTGGTATTGTTTGCTCGGCGTGCCGAGCTGTATGAGAACTGTGCTGCGCTACTGATACCGGCGGACGGGCTCGTGGAATTTTTCCGAGACAAGCTCGTACGAGTGCTGTATAGTACTAGCACAGTACTCGTACAGTACGGTAGGCACCTTGAGGTAAGGTACGACGGGTACGGTACCGGTACATCGCAGCACGATAGAATAAAGTGCTTTACGGTGAGTAAGAAATTTAATCCGCACCAAAGGAATGACTGTACGAGTACAGTGCAGCCATCGAATTCATTGGGTTTATGCGTGGCTTGCCGGTGTTAGGTATGTGACCCTTTTTTTTCCCTCCTTTTTCTACCTGGTTCTTGCCACTAATTTGCTCGATATGCGCGTATCGTGATACCGGTACTGGCACGGTATGTTCCTACGAGTATGATACTATTCTAGTGCTTCTACTCTCCACGACTGAAAGTCTAGTATTCCCTATTTTGTTTTCCGATTCCCAAGGGTCCCTATTCTTGTTCTGGCTTTGCTTTCTTCTTCTCCATCTTGGCCACATCTCTATCTCTTCCTTGGATAGCTCTTCCCCACCTCCGCGGCAGCAGGTGGGTAGCTTAACATGTGTATCGTACCCAAACCGCGGTGAACCCACGCGTCTGGCAAGAGAGCCGGGATGGTTGTCCTATCGTATAACCACTATACAAAAGGGAAGGAGGAGAGCGCCCTGGAAGTATTCGAGAACATTCTGATGATCCCGGTCCTTTTGAGACCTCGGCGCCTCATGCATCTGATTTTCTTACCCGCAGGTTTTATCCTTAAATTGCGATATCGGGGGTGTTTGTGGTGGCGGTTAGGGTATATTGTCAAATGATGAAGAGGGGGGTGGTGGTGGTAGAGGTTTCGTCTTGTGTTGTGGTGAAGTCACTCCCGGGACGGGTTGGTGTCGTTCTGGACGACCCGCGTGTGGGAAGGGCATGAGGATGACAGCGGCTTTTGCGCTATGGGAGGTTTGTCTTGTCCTGTTGCCTACGAGTTCTAGTAGGGTTATCTGGCCCGTCCATTGGCCAAGTTTGTCTGAAGTTGGGCTTTGCGGAGGGGATATGGGATGGGATGGGGAAGGGGAAGGGAGACCGAGAAGGAACCACCGCTGGCACCGGGGGGAACGTTCCATGGCAGAGCGTTTAATCCTTGTTGACTGAAATTCTGTTGGAAGGGTGCGTATGAGTGTGATGAGGGCACAGAGCAGCATGCTAGGGGTGGAGAAGATAGAGAGGGGACAGGTGGGGGGGGGGGGGGGGGGGATATCAGGGAGATATCGAATGTGAGCCTGACGTGATGCATACCGGCAAGTTACGAGTGAGGGTAGAATCCAGTGATAGACCTATGACATCGTGCAGCAGTATCACCAGGGGGTGGAGGGTACCCCCTTCGGGGGAGGTTGTCTTTTCCCGTCTCCCTTCCCAGTCTCTTTGATCATGCCCAGCTCTTTGAGCTTCTTCTGTCGCCAGATCGTTGCTCTGTGTGACATGGTTGGCAAGGCCGGATGCCCGCCAAGACATCATCACGAGCAGCAGCAGGGGGCGGGCCCTTTGTCTCATCTGTCTCGCATCCCCCAGTCAAGAGTTTTGCTTTTTTGTCTTTTCTGTTCGCTCTTCACTTTTCGCTTTTTTGTGAGTTCCAGTAATCACCGTTTTGTTGAAGGCAGGATACCTACGCTCCTCTTCATTCCAGCGCCTCATAATGATCCGGTCGATCGCTGGAATCATCGGATTGTCATACGCCTTGGAATAGTGGGATGCCGTCGATTGTTAGACCTTACACGCACAATCTTTGGTAGCCCCCCCAAGGTCATTTGTTGCTGGAATAATAGGGAGAAAGCCCCCCCCCCCCCCCCGCCCAGTCCGCCCTCCAGCTAGCAAATGGGGGGGATCGCTTTTTAAGTTCTCTCAATTCACCTCTTCCCTACGAGTACCCAGCAGGTATACACACTCTCTACCTAGAACCTCTACTATATGCACCCCCCTCCACCCTTCCTCTACTTTTCCCCTGGCCCTCGCGCTAGGGGACTACCGGGCCTCGGACGAGCCGATCTGAGATGTAGATGTAACGGTCCACGGTCGCAAGGCAAGGTCGGCCCCGGCCACAGTCAATCGGACGGTGGGAGAGCGATGCTGGATCTCTGGAACTATTTTTTTCCCCTTCACATCTTCAGTTCCTCCCTTCGTACATGCGGTCCCCTGCCCTAACTGATGCTGGCTTAGCCACCACATACTCTTCCCGGGATTTTGCGGCGCATTTTGGTTAAATGCTACAGGCTGCTTCCGTCTCCATCACTCAAGTAATGTCTGTCGAACGGGTAGAGCAGAGAGATAGAGATACCCGAATAAAATGTGAGATCTTCTGTGTGTGTGGGTGCGCTTGTGTGTCCTGGGCATGCATCGAGTCAATGCTGCTGGGTCCTGTGTCCCCAAGCTTCGCTCACAAAATCTGACTGCCCAGGACGCAGGACAGCTACGGTGTGAACTTAGACCCGAGCTGCTAGTTCCTGGTAAAGCACAGCATAGCACAGCGCGGTGCAGTACTCGAGTATCTCTCCCATAAGCTGCTTGTTTTCTTACATTGCATTCCACTTGGCTGTTTTTATGACAGGCCTTGCTGGTCTCTCCGCCAGAGCTCCATCTTCTCCCTGGTATCATACTTATTCTCATCCACACCACACCATTAACCTACAATTGCCCTTCCCTCCTTTACCACCCTTAGGTATTTGTTTCCTGCTCCCTCAACTCTCCTCCGCCCTTCTCTCTCTGCCCTGTCATTCCCGCCTCCCCCTCCCATCCTCCATCAACGGGCAGCCCCCCTATCAAACGCCCCCCTCTAAGTACATATAGTTCTTGGTGCCCGCCTCTTGCTGCTCCCTTCCTCCAGACTCCCCCTCCTAAGAATCCCTTTGATTCAACCCCCTTCCCCTTCCATCCCACGCACCACTCCTTCTCACGTAATTATATACGTTCAATACCCCCCTCCCCCTCGCCCGCACACGCATACATACTGTTCCTTCCACAGCTCTCACACACTCCCGTCGTTCGAGTATATCAATCGAACATCCATCCATTATTCATCCCACCATCATCTCGAAAATCTATCATCAAAAACCTCTCTTTCGAGCCTCCCACCATCTCTCCTCATCTAGCCGGACCAAGCAATCCCAACGAAAGCTATAGTCAACTGCCCAATCCGAATTCTAGGCTGCTGACGTCCACGGACCAAAGAGAGACAGGATAACATTAATCGATATCCGATTCCTGCCTGTCCTGTAATTCCTTCTCTTTGCCACTGGTTACATATTCACTCGTCCAGAGCCGGGGTTCCTGTCATTCCCTGATTGCTTCCTTCTCACCTTGGGGGTTATTTCCTTCTTCTTCCCCCCCCTCTATTCTTCATATAAGGGCTCGCCTTCCCCCGGAATTAGGCTCACAGGGAAGTTTTTCCAAATCTACTCTTTCCCTGAAGAATTTGATTCCGACCTTTGGATCACTTCATAAAAGCAAATATCGAAGGCAATGCTTTCGCAACCCATCACCACATCCCCAGGGGCATCCGCTTCAGCGGCCCCAGCATCCGCTGCGAAAAAGCGCCGCCGCCGGGCACCCGCCACTGGAGCTGCTGATGACTGCTTTACTTGCGGAGCAAATGGAATCAAGTGTGATCGTCGCCGGCCTTATTGTGGTCCATGTCTTGATGTTGGGGTCAAGTGTAGAGGTTATAAGACACAACTCACGTGGGGAATTGGCGTAGCTAGTAGGGGAAAGCTTCGTGGATTGCATCTTCCGATTCACACGCCGCCCGTCGACTCGAGGGACGCGAGGATCAAAAAGAGGGGTGACGAGAGGACCTCAAGTGGGAACGAGGATGGATTGAGGTCAAAAAGATCAACGACATCCTTGGATAGCAGCGGACGCGACTACGACAGCCAAAGCAGTGGAGATAATGGTACCGAAAAACTGAGCATTATCACAAGCTACGATTTTGTCAATATAGAACCTCACTCGAGCTCTAGCTCGGCCGTCTCGAGAACAAGCTCGACTCGTTCAACTAACAGCCCAGCCGTCTCCACTAGAGCGAGTCCGACTCTTTCCGGGATCCCACAGAGTAGCATGCCATCACAAAGAATCACTCAAGATCGGAAGTCGCCCGAGTCCTCTTCTTCCTACACGTCGTCCTACCCTGCTGGCTCTCAGCCCCAGCGTCCCGTACAGTCTCAGCAGCAGCAGCAATATGGGCAGTCTCGCGCACACAACTATCACAATGAGCCCTGCAATTACGCCCCCCTAGAGCCGCCGCGTGGGCTGATCCGCTCCCCTTTTCTCGAACACGAACCAAAGTACGAGCCGGGGTACGAACCAAAGTACGAACTTGAATCAAGGCACGGATCAAAGCATAAATCAAAGTACGAACCAAAGTACGAACCCAACTTCGCTTCGTCGCGGCATTACCCCATGTCTTCTGCACCCTCCGCAACTCCCTCGTATGAAATGGTAACCGGTGTTTCGAGCGCCCCGTATCATCCTTCGGCTGGAATGACAGTCACCACTACTGGGGTTTCCTATGCTCCCGTGGTCGCCACCATGCATGCTACTTCCCAAATGATGGGTGGCGATCACTTCCACAACCCCAGCCGTCGCCATCGGAATGGAGGCCCTGGGTGGGGTGGCGTCGGTATGGGAATGGGCAATCTTCATCAGCAACATGCACCAGCGGACACCGATAACCTGTCCGACTTGTTGTACGAAGATGTGCTTGGTACGTTCTAAAGTGTTTGTCATGTAGTTTCCTTTCTGTCTGTTACACTTTCCAAGCTCAAGCGAAGTGGGCAATTCCTTCCCCCCTCCCTTTTCTACCGGTAGAATCTGGGTTCTAACGTAGTTGGTTCGTGTTTTCTTTTCCCTTTTTTCTCCCTTTTTTTTTCCCTTCTTTCCTTTTTTTCCTTTCCACCCATTGTCCACCTAGGGTTACTTTTACGCCTCATTATCACACCACACTCTACAGTATGTCTGTGGTTCCATTCAAGCTACGGGGCGGGGTGGTTATTTGCCGGGTTCTCTTTCCTCCTCCACGTTTTCGCCTCCTCCAATTCACTCGCCGCTTCCTCGAATTGCCGATCGGCGGGTCTTCGCTTTTTCATTGACTATTACGGCAAGGCCGTTTGCACTTCGGCAGTGACATTTGACAGCCCTGGAACCCCTATCAGCGAATCGCGTGTGCGCAGTCGCTCGCCCACCTCACGGCCATCATCCAATGGTACGTATTGTGCTACAGGTTCACCGCCGGATGGATTCCAGAAACCTCCGCACCCATCGGCAATATCGTCACCGAAGGTTGCTTCCTCCTCATAATAACCCGTCGCTCTGGAACACAAGAACGCCTCAATCAAACTTTTAAACGCCCGGCTCGCGAATCCGCATCCCGCCAAGACAGACCCAGCAATGGCCACCTTACTAACATTCCTGTTGCACCACATTTCCAAGGCAGGTGTTGGGTGGGCGTTCAAGACGCATCTAGCCGGCGCGAAAAAGCTGATGCGCATGAGGAGTGTCGGGAGGGAGACTCAAAAGCGGGGATGGGTGGAAACAGTCTTTACTTGGTCAGGAAACATGAGTGCCTTGGTCGACAACCGGGAAGCTCAACTGGGAGGCGGTTATTTGGACATGTTTTTCGGGTAGGCGACGAGCGGGACCAGGATAGCCTCCCCGACTGCGATAGAGGCCTTTTCATGGGACTGGTAGGCCTGGGTCGAAGTAATACGGGTATGCTCAGCCAGATTGCCCTGTCCGCAGCCTCAAATCGTCCAGAGATCGAAAACGATGGCGAAACGGGGTTATAGAAATGACGGCGGCGGCTGCATGCAGCGCGTTGGGGTTCGATCTATGTGGTTGAAGGCTAACTACGATTCACGCGGCAACGCCCTTTCGTCATCGCTCCCAGACTTCCTACATTGTCAACTTCGCCACCGTCGGCCTGGCCGTCAAAGCCCACGAAATGATTGAGAACGGCCACTGTCTAAGCATCTTAAATGTCTCCCGGCACACTGTACTCTATTACCTTGACCGGCTGGAGTACCCACACCTGTCTCCTTCGCACTCAATACCGTATTTCAAAATACCGTGCACGAGATGTCCGATCACGTGAATTGTATTCCTTACGACTGGCCCCGGTAGCAAGTTGTTCTGGCCGCTCGAATATTCATCAACACCAAGTGCGCCATAGATACTCAGCGGGATTTTATCCCCGTAAGATGCGCAGACATGCAATGGGATCCGGGCTTCATTAATGAGACTAATGGATTGGAGGTTTTGGAGTGGATATGGGCTTACCCTAACGAACCTCCGAAGAATCGAAGAATCGATGGGGGGGGAAGATGTGGAATATCTCATGATTTAGTTATCCTAATTCTTGGCGGCTTTGTTTCTTTCGCTATTGTTTAACGCATAGTTTTTCCTTTTCCTTCCCTTTCTCTTTTCTAATTACTGGCTTTTCGTTACGTCCTTTTTCCGGAGTTAGGGCTGCTTTTACGAACAAAGCAAAATCTTTGGAGGGGAACTTTTATGGCATTAATTTTTATTCTCTATTTCATCATCATCATCATCATCATACTCTAACTTTCATCATACTCTAACTTGTTGGCATCGGTCGGGCCGGGGGAGGGAAGGGGTGGGCAAAATGTGTATGAATTGTGGGGGGGGGGAGGGGAGGGTGGCTCAGTCTAGGTGGTATAGTTTAGATACCCGGGTATAGGCCCAATTCAAACAACCATTTTTTGTTGGCAGCGTGTATGATAGCGGCGACGGCATATAGTAGAGTACCTGGAAAAAATAAGTTTGGTTCTACCGTAATGTTGCGATCCGGTTGTAGGTTGACTGGGATATTGCTGGTCAGGGTTGGCTTGGTTGGTTAGCATTCATTGATGGATTGACCGGCAGAGTTCGGAGATGCACGGAGGGTATTATACTAGTAGAACACACTGAACATGCGCTAAGGTGCCCAGTTCGTACAACAAACTCGCTCATCATTCGCTCCGTAGGGCCAAACTCCGAAGATTCTGGAAGTGAGCGGAGCGGGGTGGAATGGCGCACCCACCGTGGCAACGACATCGCCGCCACCGACCGGGGATTAACCTCCCCTTTGGCCTTTCGGGAGTGGCAGGGCGTTGGATGCAGAGACCGAGCCAGGAAGCCCGAGATGCGTGCTAACTTGCACCAATCGCCGGCCGGCAGGACAACAAGCATTATACCATACAAGCCGACAATAAGGGGGGGGGGGCTCGCCTAGTCATCGTATAGTTAATATTCTTAATATAACGGTGAAGCCCATGATACTCAAGTACAGTACAGTACAGCACAGCACAGCACAGTACAGTGCCATCCACCAAACAGCACCTCTAAAGGGCATCAAATCATCGTACCATACCATAAATTATGTACGATACGAACCCCGTCGGTGCGCTCTACCGCCTGCAGAAGTGCGGATTGCGGGAGTGCCCTGGCGCGTGGGGCCATCATATCGTATGACACCATCCCACTTTCCGTGTGCGCCCTCTTTACTTCTGGGAGTGATGGGCTTAAAGAGTGGCAAGGTGGAGCCTTGGAGTACAGTACAGTACCGAACGATGTACGAGTAAAATTTATGTAACTTGGACTTTATCGGCTTGTGATGTGCGCTGGCTGCCTGGCGGGCACCTGGTCTTTCGGAGTTTGGATCTGTGGGATTGGTTTACGGGGGAGGAGACTGATCGCTGGCGGGGGGGGGAGCGAAGTTTGCACCTTTTCTTCTTCTTCTTCTTTCCTTTTCTTTCTAGGAAGGGGAATGAGGGAGGGATGGTATCATGCTATTCTTGAACTTGGACTTTGATCTGCCGGAGTCTTTTTTCTTTCTCTCTTTCCACTAAGTCCGGTTTTTGTGATGGTGGTGGTTTTCCCGTCACGAGGGAGCGTAATATCAGGAATGGCCGGCCGGTGTGGGTGTTTGGACATAACATATTTATGGGAATGTCGATATCTATCCATGGTCTTGAAGGAGTGAATAACACACTTTTCTTTTTCTTCTTTCACCTCGTCGATTCTGTTTTTACCCTCACTCTTGAACTTTGTCTGCCCAGTTCTAAGGTTTAGCGTTCCTATCAGTCCTATTCCTTTCTGCTCTGCTGGCCGTGCTGGAATTGTGCGGTGGGGTTAGAAAAGAAAGACAATAATTTAAGTTAACTGGCGGGGCGGTCGGATTGGCACCGGTAGGGGATGAACTCGAAACGGGGGGGGGGATGGTCTACGGTCAAGTGTGATACCGATAGAGAGGTTCCGGGGGAAGGTGTATTGTATGATCCAGCGGGCGGGGCGGGGTGACTGATAATCCGGGAATCATCACAGGATAGCACTCGTGCTTGGTAAAAGAAGGTGGGGAAAAAGGATGGAGGGGAAGTTTTGAGATTTTGCGCGTTAACTTGCATATCACGTCGAAAATTTTGGACCGGTGTGGGAAAAATGTGGGGCGGTTTCGGGTTATTTCTGGAAATGGGGGTGATGATGTTGATTTGGTACTTTGGCTTTTATGAGTTGTTATACTGTATGATGATATATACAAGTAATGCCCCCCCCTCTTCCTTTCCGTTATATAAATTCTAAAGATTAGTTGATCGTTGTGGAACTGGACTTATCACCTGGGGTGGATTTTGAAGGGGTTGTTTTTTCGTTGCTTGATCTGGATCGCCATTCGTGGTGAGGTTCAAGTATGATACTGCACTTCATGTGCCGATATGTGACTAACCATATATAGATTCAAATTACTACTATCATGCTACGGTGCTGGTGTTATTCGCCTGTAAGGCTAGTTCTGCCGGTGAAGAGTGGGCAAGGGGGAAGTCTGGTCCGGCTGAGTGGGTTCATCTTTTTAGCATTATGTAGGGAAATTCGCCACCATCAGCACTCCAGGGCCAGGGGGAATAATATCTCACCCGGAGCGTGGATGCCGTCGTAGGGAATTGGAATTGGGGGGAGTTGAGGGAGGGAGGGAGGGAGGGGGAGGGTGGTACTGGGATGTATGTTGTAGTAGGAGATGGATGGGATGGGTGGTGAAAACTGGGAACCTCCAAAAGAGATTGTCGTCGTCATGGGTGGATTTTGTGGGTGTTGATTCGAGTGGGGACGATGCCTGCACCGGCCCAGCTGAAAGGTTGCCCGGCACGGCAGGTATGATGGAGGTCTGTAGCCAAGATCCCAGGTAGGATTGATTCTAATCAATCCACCTGACTAAATTCCTATGTACGCGGAGCGTGGTGCCAAAGGCAAACTGGTCATATTAGTGAATTTTTTTTTCTATTGGCAGAACCAACCTTACCGATGAGCGCTGTACCGGTAGAACTACGATAGCATGCGAGTCTATATTTCATTAGCACCGGTCAATATATTATGGATTAAGTTAGCTCACGATGAATGATGGATGGTCCCGATTCAACAGTACTCTGACAAACCTCCAAGAGCACAGAATACACAGCCTGTGACAAGCGACAGGGGCTGTTGCAAGATACCGCGAATTATCTCAATTTGTGAAGGAATGGAGAGCATTTTCCATGATAGGCTCACTACTTGGTCTAAAGGAAAATGGCTTATAATGCAACTTAACCTGGCTGCATTTGATATCACTCGGTTTCCCTTTCCGGAATAGTCAGGGGGGGTGGAAATTTACACTGGCTTAAATTTTGGGGATATAGAGAAGTTCGGTGCTACCAAGGCTGCAGTGGATATCGGAGAATTGATATAAATCTAGAATATAACCGTGACGATAGAGGGAAATCGTAAAGTGGGGGACTTTAAAAACCGATTATCTCGACAATATTATTATGTACGATGGAAGAATAGAAGCAAACTTCCTCCTCCTCTTAACGATCGAACTCTCAAAGTATTTTTTTTCTTTTCTTTTCCCCTCATCATAATCTCTCCCTCGTATCACTCGTATCGTGGCCTTGCTCAGCGCCGCGTAATAACTTTCCACCAAGAAACAGGTGTAGACTTATTTCCTACCCGGCTATACCAATGACAAGAAATATCGACCTGTTCATACAGCTATTGTATTCACAAGCTTCGTGATACCTTTGGTAAGGTTATCTCGTGAGACTTTCCGGCTGCTCTAGTTGACGATATTGTCCCTGGGAAGAGCCTGGATGGCGCTATGGGGAGAGTAGTGGAAAGGGTGTCGTAGTAGAAACTAGCCAGCACGGAGGAGGCAATGTATCGCGGAGCCAAGTGGAAGAGTGATGACGAGGGAAGGGAGCTTGTAGGAAGGAAGCAACTTGATTCTAATGCAATGGGATACTGTGAGAGTAGTGGATTAAAAGAATATAGTGGAAGGACGATTTGGGATCTGTAAACTGTGTGCTAAAAATTGGTCTTTTCCTTGAGCCCTAATTCCTAAGATTTCCAATCAATGGATGGTCTATTCTGTCTACGTCAATGGCGCTGAAGCTTACCTTGTAGAGTGTACCCCAGCATGCTATCTTCGTGGCAATAATGCCGGAGGCTTGACCGGGGTTGGGCCAATTGTTGTAAATAGTCAAGTACGCTCCCGCAAGTCTATTGTGATGAACCAACTTATGTGACATGAGCATAAGTTTGGTCCTGAGCTTTGTGTTTTCGTTGTTAGACTGATGTGGTCTATAACATGAAATGCGTTGTGGAATTAGGACTAGGATGAGATATTTTGTTTTTCCTTTTAAGCATATTCACTCTTAGCTAGAACCAATAGAGTCCTTTACAACTCCACACTCAATCTCCTCCCTCCACCAAAAGGTCTCATCTTCGTTTCCTGCTGCAGTCAACCATCCACTGCCATCACACT